AACAAGAGGAAATTCAATAAGTCACCCAACAGCATAAAACATAGCGATGGAAATCTTATCTCGGAGCCATCAACGATCTTAAAAACATGGAAATCGTACATAGAAAAATTATTTGCATCTGACAGAACTGATGATCACCTATATGGAGAAGGAGAAACAGGACCTTCAATCCTTAAATCGGAGATAGAAGATGCCATTGCAGCACTAAAAAGCAATAAGTCAGCAGGTCCGGACAATGTACCCTGCGAAATATTAAAGATCCTATGTAAATCAGACAAACAGTTCCTTGATAATCTAGTTGTACTTTTTAACAACATATATAATAGCGGTAAAATCCCGGAGAACTGGCTACAGTCAACATTTATTACAATCCCGAAGAAACCACATGCCCAGATTTGTGATGACTACCGGCTTATAAGCTTGATCAATCATGTCACATTCATAGAAGAATATATGATAAATGTGAGTCAAATATTGATAGATCGCAGTTTGGTTTTCGGAAAGCACTTGGAACTAGAGAAGCAATTTTCGCTGTCCAGGTGCTTATACAGTGGTGTAGAGACGTTGATAAGGACGTGTATTTGTGCTTTGTAGATTTTAAAAAAGCATTTGACAATGTCAATCATGAACAATTGATAGGTATCCTGCGAAAGACAGGTATTGACGACAAGGACATTCGAATTGTGGCAAACCTATACTGGGGTCAAACAGCAAGAGCAAAAATTATCAACGAACTCACTGAAAGCGTGCAGATCAAAAGAGGTGTCCGTCAGGAATGTATATTATCCCCACTCCTATTCAATATGTATTCCGAGGAAATATTTAACAAATGTATGGAAAATCCAAATGAGGGCATAAAAATAAACAATGAGTTAACGAACAATATAAGATATGCCGACGACACGGTGATCCTTGCCAATACCACAGACGAATTACAACAGGTAATGGAAAGACTTTATTCAGTTAGTGAGGAATACGGCCTGAGCCTTAACTTCAAGAAGACAAAGTCGATGCTGATAAGCAAGAAGCAACAACCTCCTCGACAATTACGGATAAGTAACATAATAATTGACCATGTAGAATCTTATGTGTACCTTGGCACCAACGTAAATGCAAAATGGGAACAGACCATAGAAATTAAGGCGAGAATAGAACGAGCTAGAGCAGCATTTAGCAATATGAAAAAGCTCCTCATAAGTAAGGATTTGTCTCTTCCCCTAAAAATACGTATAGTTAAATGCTACATTTTTCCGATCTTGCTGTATGGCGTGGAGGCCTGGACGAAGACGGAGACGCTAACGAGAAAACTAGAAGCATTCGAAATGTGGGTGTACCGACGCATTCTTCGTATATCCTGAACCGAACATGTCACCAACATAGAGGTACTCCAAAGAATCGGAAGGGAGAAATAAATCGTGAATACAATTAAACAAAGAAAGTTTGAATATCTAGGCCACATAATGAGACACAATAAGTACCGTCTGCTACAATTGATTGTCCAGGGAAAAATAGACAGTAAGCGAGGACCAGGCAGGAGAAGACACTCGTGGCTTCAAAATCTGCGGAAGTGGTTCGGGCTCACATCGGTCGAACTATTCAGAAGCGTCGCAAACAAGATCAAAATTGCCATGTTAATAGCCAACGTTCGCAACGGACAGGGCACTTGAAGAAGAAGATATAAAGACGCATTACATGCACTACTGTGGCAAATCCGTAAGAAGGTGACAAATTAGAAAGTCACACCTACAGAGGCAAAGTAGATGCGTATCAAGAATGGACTGACTATGGCATAATTGGAGAATATTAATGTGATAAAAAAGGTTGTTGGTGTGGGCGCATATTCATAAATGTTAAGGAAAAGGGTCTTATAGTCACAATCCGTATTAGGTTTTTTCTAGATATTAATTCAAACAAATATTGGGCAGCCCCAATCAATTTCAGCCCCAATCAATTTCAGCAAAGCGAAACATTATGCTTCAACAAGAAACAACAGAAAATAAAGAAAACTATACAACATCACGACGAGAAACAAGAAAACTAATTAGAGAGAAAAAAAGAAAATACGAACAACAGCAGTATAAAGAAATAGACAACAGTCAAATAGTCGAGCATTTTACAAATCTGTGTCAAACGAAAAGAGAGGATTCAGACCTAACTGCGTGTCTGTACTGAGGAAAAATAATGATGAATTAATAATCAACGAACAAGAATTACTCCAAACATGGCAAGAATATTTCAAAAATTTACTTAATATACACCAAGATGAAGAATATGGAGAGGATATATATCTTGGGGTAGACCTACCGGTAGAGTACCCAAAAATAGACGAAACATTGCAAGCAATTAACAAATTGAAGTAAGCAAAAGCTCCAGGCTCTGACAATATACCAGCCGAATTTCTTAAGTACGGAGGAGAAACTTTTCATAGACAATTACACAAACTAATAACACTTATATGGAACGAAGAGAAAATACCAACAAAATGGCACGAAAGTGTAATAATTCCTATCCATAAAAAGGGAGACAAAACCAAGTGCTCTAACTATAGAGGCATCTCACTACTTAATACGGCGTACAAAATCTTATCGAACATCCTATTAAGTAGACTAACACCTTTTGTAGAAAATTTCATAGGGGAATACCAAGCCGGATTCAGAAAAAATAGATCGACCATAGATCAGATTTTTACTCTCAGGCAGCTGCTTGAAAAAGGATGGGAATTCAATAGAACCATTCATAATCTCTTCATAGATTTCCGACAAGCATACGACAGCATTAAAAGGGATCAGATGTGGAATGCAATGGCAGAACTTTCAGTTCCAAAAAAACTCCAAACTGTTCCAACTGTTCCAAAAAAAATCCAGCTCGTTAAAGTTTGTGTAAATGGCTGTAGATCTAGAGTGCGGATAGGTAACAAGCTCTCAGAGTCGTTTGAAATAAACAGTGGACTGAAACAAGGAGACGCGCTGTCACCTCTTCTTTTTAATATAATCCTGGAAAAAGTAGTAAGAACCGCACAAATTAGAACAGAACTACTGACAGTAAATGGACCAAAATTACTACTAGCATACGCGGATGACATTGACATTGTAGGAAATACCGTCACCAATGTAAAAGAAACCTTCAATAAATTAGATAGAGAGGCAAAAAATACCGGTCTGTCAATGAAGAGAAAACCAAATATATGTGCATTAACAGACAAAAGAGACGAGATAGAATAGGACAAAATGTAACAATAGACCCCTATAACCACAGATAACGATATCACGGAAGAGATAAAAGGGAGAATTCAGGCAGCAAACAGATGTATGTATAGCCTCCACGACACTATTAAATCCAAGAGCCTAACACGAACATAAAAAATCAGGATATATAAAACAGTAATTAGACCGGTGCTCATGTATGGGTGTGAGACGTGGACGCTGACAAAAGAAATGGAAAGTAAACTCAGATGCTTTGAGAGAAAAATCCTTAGAAAGATCTTCGGTCCTATCACGATCCGAATACTAACCAATACCGAATGAGAACAAATGCCGAGGTCAAACAAATGTATAGTGCTAGCGACGTAGTCCAAAAGATTAAATCCCAACGTCTAAGATGGGCTGGCCATGTTCATAGGCTCCCTAATAACCGCCTTACCAAGTTAATCTGGGAAGAAGTCCCGACAGGGAGAAGGCCCTTAGGACGTCCACGAATGCGATGGAGAGATAATATATGGTCAGATTTGAGAACAATGGGGCTACCCACTGACTTAAACATCATGGACGACCGTTCGAGATGGAAGCAGGTTGTGCAGTCAGCCAAGACCCACCCCGGGTTGTAGTGCTACCAGAAGAAGAAGAAGAAGAATCAATTTCAGCGTTTAGTTTCTTGAGGGCCTGAAGGCGCTGTACCACCTGTAAACAGTGAAATCCTTCATCAAATTTATGTTTTAATAAATAGCTAGAAAAAACCTAATACGGATTGTGAGTGTAGGACCTTTTTCTTATACATGTATAAATATTAATATGGTTTCAGAAAATGTAGATGCACTCTAGATCAAGACTTCGCAGTAAAATCAACTATAACTAAATAGTAAACTAAATTAAAATATTTCTAATTTGGGCATTGGTGTCCTATGATGATAATTAGCGATAAGACCTGTGTCTAGCCGTGAACAAAAGAATCGTAGACCTATATAGAGCATTTGAGGAAATAATCGTAGACCTATGTACAGCACTGGAGGAAAGAATCGTAGACATATGTAGAGTAGTGGGCGAAAAATATGCGTCGAGTACTAGACGAAAGAATGCAAGCTTATATGTAGCATTGTATAAAATATTGGGTTCTCCTGTCAAGCAGTGGACGTTCAATTAGTAAATAAAAGAAGGTGATATGGGACAAAAAACAGATCAGTTGACGAAAAGAAGAAGACGAAAGAGACGAAATGACTCGACTTGTCAGTGAGCGTGACGTCACTCGAACACTTGAACAGGTGCAAACATCAAAGGATGTCGCTTTTTCCCACGGTCGGTAAAATTTTCCCAGTCCCAACCGACGCAACATCTACTACTAAACTTATAACTAAACCAATACTAAATTTCAGGCTAGACGAAGTAGCAAGACTTATAAAAAGAAGGAGCGAAGATTTGGTGATGGAATAGGAACAAATATCTGTATTTTTTTTTTTTACCCAGAAATGAAGTCGCAAAAGAATGCCCGAAGATAAAAGTACTTTAATTTTTCTATGAGTCTCTGCCTTTGATGCATATGTTTAAAGTTAATTAAATTAATTAAAATTTACGTTTTTTCGGATATCCAAGGAATGTCTAAATTATTTGCCGCTGTAAACTGTTGTTGTAGCTAAAAAGAATTATGCACAAGTAAAAATCCACCGCTCCAACTGTAGTAGTTTATGTTTAATATTTGATGTTTGTTTCAGAACTAAAAGTCGAATAATTTTTTTTGTCCAATTATCTGGTAATAAAATAATGATTTTTACAATGTTGTATTTATTTATACTAATGTGGTTGTTGTGGTAGTGCTCTATTCATCATTGTAGCATTCACAGGTCCTCCGTCCTCGGGGATGCTTATCTGGAATTGCAGTAGCACCACCAGGTACGTAACCATAGTGGCTATTAACTGTAAATAGAAATTTATTTGGGTTAACTTGCATAGAAAAGATAATTAGAATAGATACTGAAATTGTAATCATACTTTTGAGTTACGGTCTATTAGGTTTGTTCGTAATAGTGTAGGAATAAAAAATTAAAAGAAGCTCATATTTTTGCTCAAAAAAAAATTAGAAAAAAAACATATACAATGAAATTAGATTTTTCAAACATACAAAGAATTGTTCGTTAAAAGTTACTTTAACAATTTAAAGGTTTTAGTCAAATGTTTCCTATACAGGGTGTTTCAACATAATCTGAAATATTTTTGTGATCGATTCATCATTTAATTTTAAGACTAAAAGTTTCGATAAACGTATGTAATAATTTTTGTTGTTATTGATACACACGAGGTGTGTATTATAGTGTATTTTTATGTATGAGAGAGTAATAAAACAATAAATTATGTATGCAAATCACTAAACTGTTGATACGGGTGACTCAATGAAAAACAGATATTTGTCAACAAGTTTACAGAAGTATATAGGAAAACAATTTTAAATTGAGTATGACCACCAGGTATAAAGGTTGAAGCAGAATAGAATACAATAGTTGTGAGGGTAACTAATCCCTAAATAAGGTTGCCAGTGTCGGAGTGATGGAGGTTAACAGGTACTAATGAATTTGCAAGAAATGTAAGATGTTTATTTTATTGGTTATATATAACCAATAAAAGCTTAATAAGTACCTACCTATTTGCAAAATAAAGTTTAATTCTTTAGATAAAATAAAACGTTTTATTTTATCTGAAATGAGTGCATTCCACGAAGTAAGGGTTTCAACAATCAAACATTTAATTCTTTAATTCCAGGAATCTACGACAGTAATTGACTAGATAATTACCTTCTAAACTTATTCCACAGAAAATGTGATAGTGGGTTTTTCCATTTTGTAGGAAGGTCCAAGTGGCGTATTCAAAATTCTTAACAGTTCACTAAAAGTAGGTACTTCAGTTGCAAGGTGCAGTTTATTGTGTATACTAGTGTTATGGAAAATTTGGAAGTGCCGTGTAAACGCCGAAAAATTGGTCCTTTAACAGTTAATGAAAAAACATTAATATTTAATTGTTTTAAATCATTTACAGACAAACGTTTATGTGAAAGTGTTGATGAGACCGTTGAGTTAGTTAGCAGTACACTTGGTGTTGGGAAATCTACGATTTACAGAGTTATTAAAGAAGAGAAATGTGGTAGTTTTCAAATGCCACGTAATGCTCCAGGGAAACCAAAATTTGAAATAGAATATCATTTTAAAGAAGGACTTCGACGGAAAGTGCATGAATTCTTCTTTAGACAAGAATTTCCAACATTGGATAAAGTTCTTGTCTCAGCTCGAGATGATAAGGATTACCCGGAAATGAGTCGAAGTACGTTATGGAAACTTTTAAAAGAAATAGGCTTCCGCTGGAAAAAGAATCCCAGAAAGTCTATTTTATTAGAAAGAAGCGATATTGTCATATGGAGAAGACATTTTCTAAGAACCATAAAGGAAATGAGAAACCAAAAAAGAAAAATATTTTATCTTGATGAAACATGGATCAACGAGGGTCATACACTAAATAAATTTTGGCAGGATGAAACTGTTACAAGTCAAAGGCACGCTTTTGTAAATAACTTATCTACTGGTTTAAACCCACCATCAGGAAAGGTACGCAGGCTGATAATAGTACACATTGGCAGTTCAGACGGTTTTGTTGAAGGTGATTTATTAACTTTTGAATCAACTCGTACCGGTGACTACCATGAAGACATGAACGCTGATGTCTTTCAAGAATGGTTCGAACAAATGATAGATCTTCTTCCTAAAACTGTGTAATAGTAATGGATAATGCAAGTTATCACTCCAGACTTATAGAAGGACTGCCCACAACCAAGTGGTTAAAAAAAGACTTGCAGAATTGGCTGAGTTCAAAAAATATTACGTACCATCCCGGATCTATAAGAAAGGAACTTTATTCATTGTGTGCCCTTTATAAAGAAAAATTTAAAAAATACGAAATTGATGAAATTGCCAAAAATCGTGGAATGACAGTACTTAGATCCCCACCATATCATTGTGAATTAAACCCGATTGAACTGGTATGGGCACAGATAAAGAGTGAAGTTTCAAGAAAAAATACCACTTTTAAAATTCATGATGTTAAACAGTTGCTTTTGGAGGCCGTAAATAATGTAAAACCTGAAAACTGGGAAAAGGCAGTAAATCACACTATTAAAGAAGAGGAAAAAATGTGGAAGCTGGACAATATTACTGATAAAATGATCGAGCCAGTTATTATAAATCTTGGTTCTGAAAGTTCATCTTCTGAATCTGATTTAGATTTGTAACAAGTAGCTGTAAGTTTTATATTAATATTTTTATTCATCTATTTAACATACCTTAGACGGTTTTAAAAACTCTTTTTCTCTTTTGTAATTTTTAAAAATTAAAAAAAATGTGAATTTTTTAAAACCCTTTTTAATGTAGGCCAGTCAGTTCTAATATAGTGTGTGATAAAAGAGGTCACTTTTGTTTACATACACATAACACTTTATAACACTGAAATAATTCATTTATTTTTTACAATTATTCAAAGTAATTTTTCAATTAATCTTGAGCACGCCCATGGAGTGGTCGGAGATACCAGTTAAAATTATGCTAATTACTCTCTCGTTCATAAAAATAAACTATAATAAAGTAAACTGGATCTCAACAAAGTGTCATAAAAATCAAATAATTTCAGGAAAGATTCAACATCTTTAGCACTCACAAGAAAGTGAATGAAAAGAAGATACAGAAAGAGACAAGACACAAGCTTAAAAAATAATTATAGGGACTGAAAGTAAACTTCTCAAGGATTATAGACTAACTAGCTAGCTAGCCTTTTTAAAATAACCGCTCTATTTGTTCGAGCTGTAATAGTTTTAAGCAAGCTTAAATGTCACTTTTCCTTTTAGGATATACTTCATATGATTCCATTCATAAGTCGTTTAACAAACTTTTAAACAAATACCTGTTAAATTTTGGATCTCTTCATTTATATTCTTCTCTTTGAAGTTTTCGCATGGTGTCACGTCGGTAATATTACTTTGTCATTTATTGCTTATAACAAATCTAATAAATAATGCTGCCTAAAGTTAAAAATACACTATAGTAATGTCTATTATTTAATAATATCAGTGATAATTTGGAACTTTGTTTATTTTCCATCTTGGATAGATTTTGTTCTGTTACTTACATTAAAGTTTACATTTTATATCTTTTACAAAACTGCATTCAAAAACATTTAAACCCCTTTCCATCCAAAAAAGAAACTTTGCAACCTGATCAACCCACGATCTTTCTACCTTTTATTATAGATGTCATAGACAAGATCAAAAAACCAAAAGACCAAATCTTCAATGAAGACCATAGTATCTACGAGATACCTTGTTCCAGTTGCCCACCTATATACATAGGACAGACAAACCGACAAATCCATAGCCGTATTTACGACCATTCTGTATCTGTAAAACATTCCGGTATTACTTCAGCCCTAGCCCAACATCATATTCAGACAGGCCACAAAATAGATTTCGAAAAATCAAAAACCATCTCCTCCATCCGCTCCTTAAAATCAAGAATCATTCGTGAAGCCATCGAAATTGAAAACCGGCCAAAAAGCTTAAACACTCGCGATGACGGTAAACGACTGCCGTCAACATGGGGAACGCTGCTTCAACGACCCTCCCTGCTCAGATTGAAAACTGGACTGCCTTCGTCTCGATACTGAGGAGTAAGCAGATTGAGACCTCGGTGCCATTTGACGGTTCATGTATTTCTACAGAACAAGATACTAGTACGTCACGAGTGAGGGAAGTAGCAATCGGTATCCCTCTTGAAAATGGATGCCGAAACGTCGAGTCTAAAATTCTCAACGTGGATCTTCCCGAGAAGTCACAGAGAAAAAGAGGTGAGTCTTCTACAGCTGGCTCCGTTCAGTGGGCGGATATCTTTTGTGGTCATCTATTTTCAGGCATTCCTTGCAGGTTTTGACACCAGTAAAAAGTTACTTAATATCAAAATATTACTTTCACGAAAATACGTAAAACTATATATAAAATTTATGCAGTGTAATATTGATAAATGATCCATAATATTATTGATAATTATCCAAATTGTGTAATATAAAAGCTTAAAAATTACGCACACTCACCGATTTAAACAAATTTCTGTTGACGTCAAAAAAACCTCCCAAACTCATGTCTGTAGGATTCATTTCTGTTGCTCTTAGAAACATATTTATCTAAAATGAAACATATTTTTAAAATTAAAAATGTACATGTTTTGACGCTTAAACTCTCACAAAGATGCCTGCTTTGAAAACCTCACTTTTTGATCCAAATCTCTTCCCCTGGAGAATTTTATTGAGATCTGCAAACAGGCAGTAGTATGTGATCATAAAATTTATTTCTTATCTAAATAATCTTCCATTTCCACATTTCATGGTTTGGTTATTTGTTGCCTTTTTCGGAATCACACTTCTTCCTTTCAGTGGCAATTTATAAACATTTACAGCATAAGATCCTTAATAATTTTTATTTTAAAATCGTTTGAAAAACGATTTCCGGATTAGAAATTGAAACGTCAAAACAAAACGTTGGCGTGTATTTGCGTATTTATTCCAGTAAAGAGAGCAAACCTAAATAATCTATTCTATTTTACTTGATTTTCCTCTTTCTATTACTCTTTCCCTTCACTCCATCCTCAATACATCCTTATAATTACACATGTTGATTATATATCATCCCCTTATTGTTATTACATTATCTAAAAAAATAATAATTACAATACCTCTTGTTGTGCATCATCATTCATCCAGTTCAACTCTACGAGCAGCAACTTCTTCTGGAATTGCACTTTCACCTTAAAATAAAAAAAAACTGAGATTAAACTTTAAAATATATTTCATTAATGAGAACAATATGACGTGCTGTCACTAGAAAAATCAGTTTTTGTAGCGTTAAAAGATATGATATGGTGGCTAAATTTTGAAAATGTTTAGCCAAATTTTACAAAAACTTAACTAAAACTATATTGATTTGGTGTACAATTTAACAAAACTATAAAGAAATAATAAACTATTAGCAACTCATAATAACCGAGAACATTTCTGGTGAAGAATCTACTACTGTTATCAAAATACATATTAATTATTTCTGCTTCAGTTCAGTTGAGCCTATGGCACAATTTTTTTCCGCTGAACCTTTGCTATTACTTGTTCCCAGGTTTCTATTGGCGGTTTCTTGAGTTTGTTGGCTTCCAGTTTATTTCCCGTTTAGTGTCGCTAGGTCTTATAATTCTTTGTATATCAAGTTTGGATTTTCATACTGATCTTGATTTTTGACTTGTTTGTCCTTCGGCAATGTTTTTTAACCTTCGGCGTATTAGTGAGCGTTTAAAAAGAGTATTATAAATATGCAGCTTTGTTCTATTTCTTATATGTACATATTATTTTATTTTAGAAGGATTTCATTGTAGAATTAAAAGTTACATATACATATAAAAATTAAACATAAAAAGGGACAAAAATTAAAGTTGAAATGTTAAAAAAGTAATAAATCGAGTATATTCTATTATCTTCACTTTGTACTTACACAATTGGATGCATAATGGGCTTCATCACTGATCAACAACAGCATCATGGCAGCAAAGAAAGCTGTAATCGCTAATCCAATATCTTTGACCCCCAGGCCTTCCTGAATCTGTGACATTAAACCATAAATAGTCAAAGTAATAATTAAGAACAAATATAAACACAAAAACGTTAAGGTGAAGCTGAAAGCATTGCCAATATCTCTTACGATCCTGCTCAGCAACATCCACAGAGATCTAAATTCGGCAACTTTATTAGCTGGTCCAATGTTCTTAAGCACTTCTTGAAAGTCATCAGCCACTGTGAGAGCCATGCTGCCTACCAAATCACAGAGCATGTACCAAAGACCACCGATCATGTAAGTAGCAACGTTAATGTAACAGTAAGGAATCACCTAAAATAGAAACAGCGTATAGTTAAACTAAAACTAAATTAGTTCAAGTAAAAAGTAAAAATTCGAAGATTTCTACTTGCTCAAAACCAAAATACAAATTTTTACTTAAACATGTGCCTTCTACGATTTACAAAGCAAGCAGATGATTAGTGAACCAAGATAAGAAATCTAAAATTTGCTACCTACAAGACCACCGATCATGTAGGTAGCAACGTTAATGTAACAGTAAGGAATTACCTAAAATAGAAACAGCGTATAGTTAAACTAAAACTAAATTAGTTCAAGTAAAAAGTAAAAATTCGAAGATTTCTACTTGCTCAAAACCAAAATACAAATTTTTTACTTAAACATGTGCCTTCTACGATTTACAAAGCAAGCAGATGATTAGTGAACCAAGATAAGAAATCTAAAATTTGCTACCTACAAGACCACCGATCATGTAGGTAGCAACGTTAATGTAACAGTAAGGAATTACCTAAAATAGAAACAGCGTATAGTTAAACTAAAACTAAATTAGTTCAAGTAAAAAGTAAAAATTCGAAGATTTCTACTTGTTCAAAACCAAAATACAAATTTTTACTTAAACATGTGCCTTCTACGATTTACAAAGCAAGCAGATGATTAGTGAACCAAGATAAGAAATCTAAAATTACATTCCACGTCATATCGGTTGGATGATCATAATATGTTGTATAATCATATAATGTTTATTATATTGCATTCCATATAGTGGAGCTCTAGGGATAGTTTACCTCCTGTATGGGTTGATTAACGGTCGGTCAGATAGCCAAGTGGGCTGGGCGGCCGGTTCTCATTCGCTTTACTGCGAGTAGTTCAGTGAATTGAACCGCGTCGATATCCATTTTGCCGAGCTTTCAGCATCCTCTCTGATTCCTTCCTCAGGGCTTCCGAGGTCTCAGTCTCCCGAGCCCCCAGACACTACTACACTGTTCACTGATCACTGCACTGTCACTACTAGTGACAGTCACAGTAGTGACAGCGCAGTGAACAGTGATCAGTGAACAGTGTAGTAGTGTCTGGGGGTTCGGGAGACTGAGACCTCGGAAGCCCTGAGGAAGGCATCAGGAAGGCATCATTCAACCCGGAAGACTGGTGAGTTTGATATTAATTTTAGTAATAATATTAATCTTAGCTCTAGGTTTCATTGTACTAACCGCGGAAATCTTTCCGAACATTTTGATTCTATAAGTACAATAGTAGAGAGAGTACTTAGTTGACGAATGACAACACTAGCTTCGAATGTTAACTCTTAATAATCTACTTTCGTTATTTTACGGGTATTTCACTCACTTCGTTTATGCATTCATGTTTTTCTAATATAATTTGTACACATTATTAAATAAGCCTTTGATTACATTGCAAATTTCACTAGGTCAGCGCGTGTTCTAGTTACACCGATATTTTCAATGTCATAAACAAACAGTCGCATTATCGCAATAAGCAATGATTAATATTATTAAAAGGATTTTAAATTTTTAAACTGCATGCTTAATTAAATCCCGTTACAGTACCTAGTGCCTCTAAAATTTACGTATAAGTATTACGTCATTTCAGGATTCATCAGAGCGACTCAGCAAGAGGCCCTCAACGTAAAATCAAATATTTTCCGTCAAACGTAACTTCCCAAAGACGCATACGTTTAGGGCTTTTTACTGAGTCGCTCTGATGAGTCAGTAAGACGTATAAGCGAATTTTAGATTCACTATAGGTGAAAGAAAATTTTAACTGTTTTTTTTCTATCTTTATTTACTCGTGTTTTGAGTATTATTTAATTTTCTCCTACATATTCCGTATTTTCTGTGTCACTATCACCATTAAATTTAATAATAAATTTATTTACACTATTAATGTGGAAGTGCTCAATCTTCTTATAGTATTTTTTGGCTTCGATCACTTTGGCGATTCTTTTCTGTCAGTCTTATTTTGGTAGTAATAGAGACTTCTTTTTTAATTACCTCAATTATCTTCTTATCGAATTTAAATATATTTGTACGCCTTATACTTAAGTTTAATTGTTCCCAAATACAAGAGGAAGTATCAATACAGTGTGTCCATGCTTTTTGTTAATAGTCTCTAGGACGTGTAATTTGTTAAATGTCTTCGTGTGTAGAACTTCAATAAGTTTTTTTTTGTATAAAAATATTCAAAATACAGATCATTATCCATCAACAAATATTGCATTTCGGCTTACTTTAATATGTTTAGTAACTCAGTGAGCTGTCGAGAATGATAGGAAGCGTTCTCAAACACTGTTACACTATTCAGCTTCAAGTTTGGGATCAGTGAGTTTTCAAACCAATCTTTAAAAATATCAGTTTCCATGCCATTGTGGTAGTCAACGTTACAATCCCATATATTTATCTCACATAATTTTTAAGCATTCGAAACCCATCACTCACTTCTACCGCAATGTACAATAAATAGCTACGATCCTTTATTTGCAGGCATTTTTTATATGCATTATCACTCTACACTCTACTGACGAACTGCTTCCCAATCGTAAAACGTTTATCTTACTAAAACGGCATCCAGTGGGTTGTAAATAAGAAGGGCAACATCAAAAGTTGCCCCATTTAAAGTGTTCTACAACATATATTACCGCGACTATACTAGTATATATCTTCTTTCCGGACAGAGTATCCACACTTCCATTCGTGTGTCATACTACCTCTGCAAGTTCCATACACAACTCGAAGGATTTTGCGTTCCCACACCAGTGGTTTAATAATTTATTTTTTATATGTCTATGTTTCACTTCCACACATGATTATTGGTCGTATAATGGTCATATAGATTGTTGTTTTCATACTTTCGCAATTCTTTGTTCGACTTTGGCTCCATATAAGTGATGTTTCATGTCTTTGATCAATCAATAGTTTCTTTTGTATTTTCTATTTTGATAACAATAGTTTTTTATGCTTCTTGTCTTAAATATTTCTTGTATGTTTGAATTACTGGTAGGTGTTTTATTGTTACAGTATTGTAAGTATGCTTTCCTACAACATTTGCCCAAAAATTCAAAATAAAACACGACGAAAAAACAGTCTATTAAAAATACCATTCAGAGTTTTCGTGAGACAACATTGTCTTGACAACGAAAACTCTTAAAAAGTAAGCAAATGGATTGAAAGTATAAAGTCTTTACTTTTCTATTGTTAAGAAAAACTAGACCTACAAAAAACGTATATACCTGTAGCAGTTTAAAGTGAACCATGGTCACATGCGTCACAACCATAGTAGAACAAGCCAAAATTGGCAATCCGATAGTCACAACAATAGGTTTGTTGCCGAGAAAATGCTGGAACTTCTTCTTAGTGATTTTGTTATACATGTTTTCAAACACGACAAAGTTCGTCAAAACCCTGGACAATTTTTTGGCTTCACTCCAGGTTATAGGACTTAAAAATATTGGAACCTTAAAATAATAATATACACATAAAAATATAACAAATTAAATTTGAAAGGGAGAAAGTCAACTTAGTATATGTAATAATAATAGTCTCCCGTTTTATACCGCACGCGGCTTTGGGAGTATAGCAGGGTAGTCTGCTATATCTAGGGCCTACGGTATACAAGGAAGGTAACATGGCCAGTGCTACGCTTCAACCGCCTATTATTACCCCTGGTTTTACCCAAGGTACTCATTTTATTCAGGCTGAGTCGACCTGGGGCCTATAGACATTTTAAAAATGCCTAGTTGTTCTTGCCGGCGGTAGGATTCGAACTCACGACCACCGGCATGCGAGGCAAGCACACTACCGCTTGCGCTACGCGGGCCCTATAACTTAGTATATGTAAAAGTGGAAAAAAACACTACCAAACAACTTATTTTGGGAATGGGTGTGTTTCTATTTGATTTATTTAGAACTAAATATGTATCTGATTATGCCAAAAGGCTGAAACACGAATAAAACAGTGGCAAATAGACGAGATACAAATATTCTTGTTCGTATATTATTAGCAGATTGTTTCGTGACAAGAAAAAAAGATATACGTGAATAAGGGCAAGGTAATAGTATGTAAGACTGTGAGCCAACAACACAAGTTGCTTGCGCTGGACATCGAAGTAGAAAGTGAAACTAAACCAAAGTACCGAAGAGGACTACAAAATATCAAATGGTGGATGTTAAAAAAACAGCAAGTCTATTCAGAGCAAAAATAGTAGAAAAAATGTACTGGAACATGAAAGACCTCCATGGTGGATGAGTATCCAGTATTATTAGAAATACTGCAATTGAAATACTTAAAAAAACTTTAGAAAAGAAGATCTAGAGTCAAGAAACCTGGTGATAATAACATGATCATCACAGGTGATAGTAACAGATCTTCAAAACTATAAGGTCTCCAAAAAGGAAGCAAAAATAGTGTTACGATAATAAATATTATGGCGTATAAAACTGTAAATATATTATGACTAATTCTTTTCTATTTCTAGTAATTTTGGCGCTCAGTTGAAAGACCTGTTTACCTGCCGGCAGAAATCTCTAGTCTCTTCGACGAAAGACCAGTCCATGAGTCACCTTGTCGTCTAATGGGTGGAAGGTCATCGATTCATCGCCAGATCCTTCTAGATAACGGCATTTTATATATATATATATATATATATATATATATATATATATATATATATATATATATATATATATATATATATATATATCCGTACCTCGGAGGTAAAGGACACTATGTCCATTTTCTTACTTTTTAAGGAGAGCAGTTTTAACATGTTTTAAATATGTAATTAGTAAATTCACAAATGTTTCTGATATTTAACCAAAATTAACATAATATATTAATTTTGGTTAAATATCAGAAACATTTGAGTATTTACTGATTACAAATTTAAAAAATGTTAAAACTGCTCTCCTTAAAAAGTAAGAAAATGGACATAGTGTCCTTTACCTCCGAGGTACGGATATATATATATAAAAGGGACATTTTATTTAGGGGAGCAGTCAGAAAAAAAGATCGCGACGGGTATTTAAATGTAACGATCGAATAAATAAATTATGTAATTATTAGTCAAAAATAAATTATTGTACAGTGGTTTAATAAATTGATATAAATTATCATGTTTTAGTAAATTAAAATAAGAACAATAAATTAGAATTAATAAAGACAGCAATAGCAATAACAAAACCTGGGGTGGTGCAAAGATATATAAAATAGCTACACATCTTCTTCTTCTTGTAGTTCCGACACCACTAATTAAGGTTGGCTATAAACTTGGTTGGCTAGGTTGGCTATTGGTGTTTGACTCTGGCAATCGCGAATTTTTTCAGCCAGAATATTTGTTGTCTACCAGGATCCCTTTTTTCTTCGATTTTAACACAATGAGCTTTATATCAACCATACTTCAATGCATGTTTCTATCATCTACTTTTCTTTGGCCTCTTTTTTTGTTCCTTATTAATTTATGTTTTTCTCTGAATTTATCTGAGTTTTTGTTTCTATATTTTCTTCTTTTTTCCATGATTTCCAGTACTTATTGAGTTCTCCAAGGATTTCGGCTTCCTTCTTTCTTTTGTAGAGTTTCGTTATGTATCTTTATAACAGAATCTCTGATTTCGATCCACATAATGTTCACATGTATATTTCATTTCTAATGTTAATCTGTTCATTTCTTGATTTATACAAGTTGAAGGCTCAGTACGTATTTCGTTTATCTTGAGCAAATGAGTATTCACCTTAGAACTTTTGGATTTTCCTCAGTTTCATTTTTGAAACAAGGAAGTTATGGTCTGATAGGACATCTGCTCCAGAGTAAGTCTTAACGCTTATAATGGAATTTCTTAATCTTAAATTGCTTAGTATAAAGTCGATCTGATTTCTAATGCAATTTTGCATATTACCCTGTGGTAACCACCAGATATACAGTTTGCAGGGTGGTAATCAAAACCATGTGTTCATAATCTCCAGGTTTTCTTCGTGACACAATTGAGCCAATATGTCGCCTCTAGCATTTCTTGTTGCTAAACCATAATCACCTATTATATTGTCCACTTGGCCTTTTCCTATCTTTGCATTTATGTAAATGGCCCATTAACTTCTTCCTTCCTGGTGTGTAGCAAAAGTTGTTTGATAGCCACACATAAAGAAAAGAAAGTAAAAGATTTTAATCAAATTAGATGTATCCGAAATGAAAATAATAAAAGATAAATTGAAATTATGCATAATTAAAACATCAACAAGTTGTAGAAAAAATATAGTGTGCAGTAGTGGGCGAATATATTTGTGTTGTTCTTACCAAGTAGACTGAAAATAAGTAATCAATTACAGCTTCTTCAAAGCGGCCTTCTGCTGATCGTACCATTTCCAGCTTGTCCCATTTTATATAACCTATATACCCTAATATTATTAAGAAAACTACTACCGAATATATCATCCATTGCAAAGTGACCTAAAACATGCTCTATTACTATTTATTATTAAAATTTATAATTTCTAATATAATCGTTAATTAAAACCTCTTACCTGAAACACCATATCTAATTGAGCGATTGGAGATATACCCGCAATCTTCATAAACAGCAAAAGAGGCCTTAAGCTGTCAAAAACTACGCTACTACTGCCGCTTTTGCTTTGAAAAGCTTTTATGGGTAGATGGTGTCCAGGTCCTGGACCTTGTGGTTGAAAAGGAGCTACTTTAGTGACAGGATTTTGCTCCGGATTCTGGTAATAAGGCAGTGTGCCTTCCAAATAGACGCTCCGTTTTCTTTCTGACGTTGGATCTTCTATGATGTTGATGTTTGGCCCAAACATGGTGTCTGAAACTATTAATATAAGAAAGCTAACAAATATAAAATCGTCACTTTGTGTTATCATTTTTGACTTGAATTTTAAATACATTAGAGGCATATTGATTTTCTAAAAGGTTCTTTTTATCAATAGACAAGTCATTTAAAAATTAAAAAAATGAAAAATATAGATCATAATGAGTTGACTTGATTTGCACTTCGAGTGTGAAGCTGGTAAATAATCAAACTCCGTGTGAAAAACTGACTTTATTTGAATTAACACAATACATTAATATATAAAGATAAAGATAGATGCACTTAGGAAAGCGAAGCTTTTAAAATATTGTTACCGGCTGTGTGTAATCTTAGTATCCTTCTCTAAGTTAAGTATATTTCTTTTCAAAGAAGAATTGGGATGATTAACCCTTCCTTTTCATGCAAAAGGTAAAGAACAGCTTGATGCTGATGTGTACAAAATGGATTCAAGAAGCTGCAATTTAATCCTACTCCGTACTTTAATAAGTTTAAACAAAGAAAAGAAAGAAATTACCCAAAAGAAATAATAGGTTAATTATATTACATATTATCATTTTTAGAAAATAAAAAATTAAAGTACAGGACGCAATAAACCAGATATCTGATTGTTAAAATCGAATTGAATAATACAATACAAAAACTTAGAGAAAATCTTAAAAAAATATATTATAACTGAACTCATTGGTCTCCCCAAGTAAGTTAACAAGTGACAAAACAACTGAAAATTCGCTGAAGTAAGCTCATAAAAATTCTAAAAGATCATAATAACTTCTCAACAAGAAAAGCAGATAGTAGCTGGGTCAGAAGTATAGAACGAAAAGCTGAAAGTTTTGCAGAATATGTATCTGAAAAGCACATTTTAGGCTTTAGGAATCAATAAGACAATCTAGACGAATGAACTAACACAAGATGAAATGAATATTAAATGTTTGAAATATCCAAAACCCAGATGAGAATTACTATATGAAATATCAGATCGCTTAATTCAAGAGACCAAGAAATAACATAAGTGCTGAAAGAGAAACAAATAGACATTTGCTCTCTACAGGACACAAAAAAGAAACGAGAAGGACAATCAAAATTAGGTGCATACATACTAATCTAAATTGGAGTAGCAAAAGAAAACAGAGCCAAAGAAGTTGTAGCTTTACTAATACACCAAGGGTATCAAAATCACATCAAATAGAGTCATTTTTTTTTTCATATCAGAAAGGACTGTAACAGTAAAGATAAGAATGGAGAAGGAAGACCTGAACATCATCGGAGTATACGGCCCAAAAAATTGCAAGCCTTAAACAAAAAGGGAAACGTTTTATGACCAATTACAACAAATAGTAGATCAACTCAGAGAAGACAAGACAATAATGTTAAAAATGAAAATGGATCCATTGGTATTCAAATAGCAGAAGAGCAATAAAACAAAATGACTGATGAATAGAGCGCGGATTATATGCAACTTGCATATACGTGCATATCATCATCATCATCCAGCCAAATTTTCACATCCATTGTTGGATATAGGCCTCCTCCAAACGTCTCCAGTTCTCTCTATCTCTAGCTGCTGCAATCCAGTTTGTTTTTATTCTCTTTAGGTCGTCGGTCCATCGGGTGGGTGGTCTGTCTCGACTTCGCTTGTCGGCTCTTGGTCTCCACTCCAATAATCTCTTCGTCCATCTTCCGTCTTCCATTCTAGCAACATGTCCAGCCCACCTCCACTTTTGTTTATTGATTCGCAGTATAATATCGTCTACGCATCTCCTCATTTCTACTCGATCTTACGCGATCTTTCAAGGTCAGGCCCAGCATTGATCTCTCCATTCGCCTTTGTGTTACCCTCAGTTTTTCAGCAGTAGCTTTCGTTAAAGTTAAGGTCTCTGCTCCGTAGGTCAAGACTGGTAAGATGCATTGGTTAAATGCCTTCCTTTTCAGGTGAATTGGGATATTTGTTTTAAAAATGTCTCTCATCCGTCCATATGCCGCCCATCCCAACGTGATTCGTCTATTTAGCTCGCAGGTTTGGTTGTCTCAGGTTATTCTAATTTCATGACCCAAGTATGTGTATTTATCGATTAATTCTACCTTGTTGTTATTGATCTGTATCTCTTCGCTGGGAACCATATTGGTCATCATTTTGGTTTTCTCAAAATTTATCTCCAGCCCAGTTTCTTGTAGTATGTCATTCAGTTCTTGGAGCATGTCTTTGATCTCTCCCAGATTATCTGACAGAAGCACGATATCGTCCGCAAAACGTAGATGGTTTAATCTTTCTCCATCGATGGATATTCCTTTCTGTTGCCATGTTAGTCTTTTAAATGCATACTCGAGAACGGTAATGAACAGCTTTGGTGACATGGTATCACCTTGCCTGACTCCCCTTTTTATCTTTATTTTATTAGTTGCAGAATATAGACTTATGGTTGTTGTGGCATTTTCATATATATTTTTAATTATATTACAATATCTGTGGTCGATCCTGCAATCTTGTAGTGCTCTTAAGATGGACGGTAGTTCCACTGTATCAAACGCCTTTTTAAAGTCTACAAATATCAATGCCAAGGGACGGTTATATTCGTTAGTTTTTTCTATTAGGGTTTTTAGGCACTGCAGGTGATCGTTTGTGCCATAATTAGGGCGGAAACCAGCTTGTTCCCGAGGTTGGTAAAAATCCAGCTTTGTCTCTAATCTATTCGTTATTATTCGGGTGTATAATTTATAAAGATGGTTAAGGAGACTGATTGGTCTGTATCTTTCCAGGTCTGCTATATCTCCCTTCTTGTGTAAGAGTACAGTTATTGAATTATTCCACTTTGTTGGGATATTTTGATTCCATAGGCATAGATTAAAGAGCTTTTGAATTTTGGCTATCAGTACTGAGCCTCCTAACTTTATCGCTTCCGTGACGACACCGTCCTCCCCCGGAGCTTTGTTATTCTTCATCTTTTTTAGAGCCTTGTAAATTTCGTCCAAGGAGATTTCTGGAATATCTTCGGAACCCTGATTTTGGACCTTCCTCTGTTGATATTATAGATATAGACTATATCTAGAGTCGATTGGTTGCTATATAATGTTTCATAGAATGATTCCACAATTTGTAACAAATGTTCTCTGTTTGATGTGATGTTGCCATTTCTATCCTTGAGTTTGACTATTTGTTTATTTCCATTTGTGAGTTTGCGTCTCATTATTTTCATACTCTTATTTTCCTCAATGGTTTTGATGATTTTCTCATCTTTGTATTTTCTTAAGTCTTTTCTGTGCATATATTGTACGCATTTCAAAACGTGGGTGCAAAATCTAAGCGGGTATAGAACTTTTTCAAGAAAACTTGTGTAAAACTATGATTGCAACTAACATACCACTAAGCAAACTTCAGCATCCCCAATTCAGAGATTTTTTATAAATGCATTGCAACCAAACCATTCCTGATAAGTCGACCATCAGAAAGAAAAATGTTCATTTGGTCTACAAGACAGTTCTTCAGGAAATACAATCTTCAATTGGCGAGAAAAACTTCTACATCATTGTGGATGAAAGTATCGATGCTTGTGGCAAATATATCGTACATCTGATGATTGGAGCACTTCAAGAAAATAATTCTACAAACGCATACTTAATAGCTTCGAAGCAGTTGGACAAAACCAATAGTGTGACAGTATCCAGATTCAAACAGCAGTCTCTAGCAATATATTGGTGCTTCTATCTGATGTCGCACCTTATATGGTAAAAGTAGGACAGAACCTTAAAGTATTTTACTCCAATGTGGTGCATGTTACATGTCTTTTGCACGGGATAAACCGCGTAGCAGAAACCATCAGAACAGAATTTCCGTTAGTAAATAAGCTAATTTCAAATTTAAAAAAATTATTCTTCAAAACCCCTTCAAAGAGTTCAGGTGTATAGGGAGAGACTGCCTGGAGTTAGTTTACCAGCAGAACCTGTAATTACCAGCTAAAGAACGTGGATTAACGCGGCTATATTCTACACAGAACATTTTGGTACCATTAAAGACCTAATTTTGGACATAGAGCACGACGCTCAAAGTGTAGTTCAAAGTAAGGACTTGTTACAAAGTACAAATGTAGCTAGAGATTTACTTTTTATTAAAGCTAATTTTACTTTATACCAGATATGATCACATCATTAGAGAATGAACAATTAAGTTTAAGAGAGTCCATTAGTACTATTGAAACTTTTATAGCTAAGTGAAGCAACGTTCCGGGTAAAGTTGGAGATCAAAGAAGGCGCAAAGCGGAAGTAACTTTAACAAAGAATGAAGGGTTTAAATTTTTAAAAATATTTAAAAATATCTACGAAAATAAGTCATCTGACGAACATGTACCATGGCCTTATAGTAACTTCAATATTGTCCAGTCGTGAAAAGGTGAAAGAACCTTTTCTATGTCTAAATACTTTTTTACTGGCAGAAGACAATCATTTTGACTGGAAAACTTCGAAAAGTATCGTGTTGTAAATGCCTTTTATAGTATGTTGTATAATATTGTAATACTTTTTTGTACCATTTTAAAATAAAATAAAATAAAATTGCATCTGACTATGTTTTTCTTACTTACTATGTGTATTTTTCTAAACTAAAACCAATTTTTGAGCATAGTAGCCTATTTTGTTCATCATTAAATTTTGTTACATATTGAATTGTATATTTTGTAATAAAAGTTAATATTTGTGGATATTTTAATGAAAAAAGATGCATATATATGCGCATATTTTTTCAAAAAAATGTTGCACATATTCCGCGCTTTACTGATAAATGAGAAAATGAATAAAATGTTCCTGGAATACACAGGAAAATGTAGATTCATAGTCTATGCCAATTCTTATATCAAGTCAACAAGTAAGAAAAACAACAAAAAATACTATCACTAAGTCAAAACTATTTACTCACAAACTGTTAGAAAACTGCTTTACAGATGTTTTTCTATTTAGTTCTTCTTGGTAAGTACCGTTTCGAAGCTTTTAAACGATGTAAGA